TGGACCCATCTTTCTCAGTCTCCCCCACACCAAGGTCAGTTCTGTTTCACAACAGTGGCACCATGAAGTATTTGTCCTTTTGTGACTGAGATACTTCACTCAGCATAATGTCCTCCAGGGTCACCCATTTGGAATAATATTGCATGAGTTCCTTGTTTTTTTAATGCAGTGTAGTATTCCATTATGTAAATATACCACAACTTCTCTATCCATTTGTTTGTTGATGGGCACTTAAGTTGTTTACAACTCCTTGCTATAAACATGGGTGTGTATATTTCTGCTTGGGTGGCAGTTAATGGTCTCTTTAGGATATATTCCCAGTAGTGGAATAGCTGGGTCAAATGGTATCTCTATTTGCAACTTTTTGAGAAAGCGCCACACTACTTTCCACAGTGGTTGCACCATTTTACACTCCTACCAACAGTGAATAAGGGTTCCAGTTTCTCCATAACATTGTCAGCTTTTGTTGCTTGCTGTTCTGTAAAATTTTGCTATTCTGACTGGGGTGAAATGATATCTTATAGTTCTTTTGAAACTAAGTTTTGAAGGAACAAGATTCTCCTTTGGAGAATTCTCCACGGAGAATCTGGCACATGGATATGTGCACGGTGAGTTTAGGGTTTTATAACTGGACTGAAGCATGGAGTGAAACATGAGGAGCAGTGAGCGATGAGGGTGGGAAATTTGCTGTTAAGGACCTCTCTCTTCAAAGTGTTAAAGAGAGCAATGATTTCAGGTTCAAGACTAAAGTGTGCCTGATGCAAGCACAGTGTGTTCAGTTGCTTCCTACACATTTCCTGGAAGGTGGACAATGAGCATGGAAGACCAAAGAAGAACTGACGCCTTTGAGTTGTGGTATTGACGAAGAGTACTGAAGATCCCATGGGCTGCCAAAAGAACAAATGAATCTTTCTTGGAGGAAGTGCACCAGAGTGCTTCTTAGAGGTAAGGACGGTGAAATTTGGTCTTCCATACTTTGGTCACGTTGTCAGGAGGGGAAGTCCCTGGAAAAAGATATCACGTTGGGAAAGGTGGAGGGTTGGTGAAAGAAAAGCAGCACTTCAACAAGATGGGACTGGCTCAGGGACTCCCACAATGGGCGTGAGCCCAACAAAGATCATGATGATGGACCAGGATACGGTACATTGGAAATCTGTTGTTCACAGAGTCGCCATGAATCATGGTTGACTCAATGGCACCTAATAATAGCAACAGTATGTCTCACACACAGCCCCAAGTACTTTATACGATTATGGCTTTGATTTTAACCTTAGCAGCTGGATTTCACAGTACGCTTCTAATAGGCTAAGGTGGGAGGCAGAGAGATTAGGAATTTGAAAAAAAATTTGAATGAATAATAAAGTGTCAAGTCAGTGACATTAGGTAGGGAAAGTTAAGAGAATAAAGAAGAAAGGATTCTGAGGGTCTGTAGACCAGCTGGATATGAAGAATGAAGGAGAAGAAGTGAAGATTAGTGCCAATGTGGTATCATTTACTGAAATACAGAGGGAAAGAGGGATTAAGATAAAGGCATGGATTAGATTAGGCAGGTTGAGTGTGAGATGGATGAAGGAATGAATGTACTATCAAAGAAATTGTTGTTCTGTGCTGTCAAGTTGCCCGTGACCCATAGTGACCCCATGTACGGCAGCTCTGAAGCCTGACCTGACTTACCTATCCACATTGCCCTAGTTACTGTATTCATCCATCCATCTCGTCCAGGGTCTTCCTCTCCTGCACTGCCCCTCTACCCTTCAGAGCATGATGTCTTTCTCTAAGGAGAAAGGTCCTTCCTGTGCATGGGCCCAAAGTTTGTGAGACGGAGCTTCAAAATCCTAGCCTCCAAGGAGAGACTTGGTTTTTACCCTCTATAAAATAGATCTATTTGTTTTCCTGGTGGTCCAATTACAGAGGGCTAAAAAGAGTATTGGCTGGGTGAGAGGGGGCTTGGAGTTGACGTCATTCTAGTGGTTGCCCACCTGCCTCTTCTATTTATCATAGTGTGGAACAACTGGTAATATAGAACACTTCTTAATTATTTTGAACACCCCAGAAACATTCAGGTCTATTTTCTCATTTCTTTTCAATGCTGCGTTGAGCCATCATTATTTCCTATTTGGTATATAAATATTAAAATTATGTTCTCAAAGGATGGTGAATGTATTGAGACAATATCTAGTTAATTTTTGAAATATCATTCTGACAAACAAAATGATGAGTTCCTTCCTTTCCTTTTTGCTGTCCTGGCACAATGTCTATAGAGGAAGTCACGAGCTCTCAGAAAGATCACCACGGTGCCTGGAAATTGCTCTGTTTAAACTCTACACAATCAATAAGATGCAGACTTCATTAAGGAATGCAGTTTTCCATTTGGGGATATTTCCAGTTTTTTAATAGACTGAATTTGATGCAATACTACACATATCTTATGAATATAAAGGTAGGTCTTGCAATATTTTCCTCTAGCTGAAAAACAAATGCTTTCAATTTCTCATTTGGTCAAACAGAGGGGCTATTAAGTTCATTACCAAAGGTGTTATTTTTGGCCGTACACTTTAGAGTGGAATAGTTGTCATGCAGGAGACTTCAGTCCTTGCCAGAACAGGACAGTGATGAGAACACGGTATCCAGGGCAACCACGAGTTCAGCCTTTTCCGTCCATAAATAATCATTCCTCAGCTTGCCCTTTGTAACGCTGGACTCTCAGCTACTTCATGACAGAATGGGCTTGATCAGGAGGTCTCTGCTCTTTTTCTTATTTGAGTTTTAAATGACTGCCAAGGAGCAGTTTATAGGAAAGGCAGCGTTTCCATTCTCTTGTAGCTTGGAGAGGCAAAAATCTGCCATTGACTCTTAAGTTCTTAGCTTTGGCTACAAGGACACTCAGAGGAACTGGAACACAGCGAGGTTTATGCTTGAGCGCTGGCTACTTGTTGGCCTGAAAGCTGCCAGAGGCCACAGTATGCGGAAAGTTTCGTGAAATGCAAACACAATTAAGGCAAGAGAAGAACCCTGGGGGATAAGCATGGAAGAGAGATGGATGACTAACACTAATAAAAAGGTAACCACCTTCCCCCACCCCCCAATCTCTTTAGAGCTAATTTAAATGCCTTTTTTCTCTGAAGATGTGTATGTTTTCTGGGGGCATGGAAACCTCACCTTCTAGTGGATAGATGCAGTGGCTCCGGAAGTCATAGAATAAGAAGTTACATATCACAGTGGTGTTCGGAGCTCAGACTTAGTATTAGCCCACAATCTAGTAGAGCAGCGTGGGTAGTTTAAATCCACCAACTGCTCCGCAGCAGAAAGACAAGCAGTGTTTTTCCTTCAAGACTTAACAGGCTCAGAAACCCAAGGAAAAACTGTCATGAGTCAGCAACAACCTGACACGGTGGGTTTGGGTTTATATTTGAATCACTTTACTAAGGAGCCTCAGGTTTCATACCTGGAAAGTGTGAGATCTCACAGTGCTTACCACACCGAGCCGTGGTGCGGAGCAAATTAGGTAACACCTAGAAAACATGAGATGTCAGCGCCTGCGAGCTTACCTACGAAGAAGTGAGAGGCCTAGAAGACACTGGCTTGAGGATAGAAAGAGAAAGTAAAATGAATAAATTTTATCCTATTGTTAATGTAAAGATCCTATCTTTACATAATCACAAACAACATTAGAATATTACAATTCTAAATATCCTTTCAAAAATGATACAGTAAAAATGGAATTTTCCGATGGATGAAACGGTATTTGAATATGTTTGCTGTGACACTGAACATCACCTTGTAAGTAAACATTCTTTGGAGCTATATTGTTGTAGATGTCCTGTGCAGTTGAGTATGACTCATAGTGACCCAATGAACCACAGACCTGAACCCTGTTCTATCCTGTGCCGTCCTGATCAAACTCAACACACTTGAACCCATTGTTGCAGACATTTATCAATCCACCTCATTGAGGGTCTTCTTCCATTTCCCTGACCCTCTGCATTTCTAATTATGATGTCCCTTTCTAAGGAATAGCCTCTCCTATCTACCTGTCCAAAGTATGAGGGGCGAAGCTTTCATACTTTGACACTAAGAATTGCTCTAGTTGTACTTCCTCTAAGATACATGTTTGTTCTTTTGGAAGTCTACATAGCTGTAACTACCAATGCCAGTATAACAATAATGGTTGTTATTTTTATTTTCCTTACTCCACTTCCTGTACTATACTGGACTGTTTATGCTTTGTCTTTCCAATTAAACCATAAGGTTCTTGAGGGGCTATTAGGAGAAGGGGCTGACTTAGCACACTCAACTCTGACCTGACATGTATGGAAACTTGATCCCAGCTTTCTGTTTAATCACCTGAAAATCAGGAAGGCACAGAGCTGCTCAATCTCCTCTGTCAGGTCCTACTGAGGATTATGGACTGTTTTTCAAAGTGCCCTATCTGTGCAAACATATGAGAATGCACATTGCTGAAACGCCCACAGCACTGACCATGGCCCCTCCGACACAGGGATGTGCCATAAACATCTGGTAACTTCTATAGATGCTTCTTTTCTTCTCTTAACATCTGTGCAATACCCAGTGTATTTACAGACTCCTCTTCCCAGTTTTTTTCTTTATTCATTTCATATTTAACCAACACTGAGCTCTTCCTTGTGCTGAGAGTGGTGCGAGGCACTGGAAATACAGTGGGGTACTCAGAGTCTATGATAAAATTATTCTTTTTTTCTTTCACTCTGTTGTCTAATACACTATGCTATGATAATATATGTAGTAATAGATATCTTTTTTTCTGAGTACGTATATTATTGTCTACAAATAAAGTGATTGAAGAAAGGACTATGGCACTTCCTAATTTTTGTCCCCAGTTCTAAAACATTGCATTTCTGAGTAGGCTTTCCCTATTTCTCCGGGGCGTGGCACTGGATTTCCCAGTTGAGACTGGGCTTTGCCCGGAAGGAGCCTGCTCCTCGCTAAGGCAATGGAACAGAGATGCACAGCCTGGTACTCACGGGTGGCAGGCAGGAGTTCCAGGTGGTCGTGTCGTCACTGCTGGTGCTTATGCTGACATTACAGTTGTCAACCTGGGATGCGCTCAGGCCGTGCGGAGCCCCTGCCTCCTCCAGCTCTTCATTCTGCTGCCGCCGTAGGCTTGCCAGCATCTGCAACTCAGATTCACTCATCTGGCTGGGCTGATAGTTCCTACAGTCATATTCCTGAGCAACAGGAGAGAAAAGGACAGTGGGTCAGGTCATTCGGCCTTTTTCAATGTCAAGTGTTATCAACAAATGCCACTCCTCCACCTTCAGGCCTTCCACGGCACCCCACTGCTAGAGGCCAGATCCTCAGTATGTCTTCAAGGGCTGCCTGCCTCATCTGCGCCTAGTTCATCTGGTCTCTTTTGCTCCTGACAGGCCAGCCACACTGTCCTTATTGTTGTGACTCATAGCGACCCTATGTACAACAGCCCTAAACCCTGCTCTATCCTGGCCAATCTTTTTGTCTCTGACACACCTACCCCCAATTAGCTCAGTCACTGAATAAATACATCTCATCAAGGTTCTTCCTCCCTTTTGTGTCCCTTTTGTCCCCCAAGCATGATGTCCAAAGTATGTCAGACAAAGCTTCAGAATCCCTGCCTCCAAGGAGCAGTCTAGTTTCACCCTCTTTAGGACAAACCTCTTTGTTTTCCTAGCAGTCAATTGTACATTCAATACTCTTCTCCAGCACCACAGCTTAAAGGAATCAACTCTCCTTCTATCATCTATAGTCATTGTACAGCTTTCTGATGCGTAGCAAGTAACTGCGAAGCCTATGGCCTGGATCAGGTGCACTTTTAGTCTCCAGACTGTGCTTCATTAAGATCCACAAAATCATGAAACTTGTGACTGTTTTCGGTCCTGTGCCTGTGATAACATCTGTGCAGTGTGTTACAGCTAAATCCTAGCCTTCCGGCTAGGATTTCATGATCCAAATGAAGTGTCATTTTCCCCAGGGGAACCCTTTCTGACAACCTCAAACTAAGCTAGAGTGTGCTAGGATCACAGAATCTTTAAAAATGTTCATTCTTAGTTATCATAATGACATGTGTTATTATTTCTTATTCCCTCTGTATTTCCCATGTCTGGCACCTAGTGGGACTTAGGATTGACGAAATAAGCAAAAATTCAAAGCAACTCTTAAAAAATTATTTTCTATAAGGTGAAAAATATCCACATTTATAAGGGAATTAATAGAATTCATCATGAGCACGATGCAAATATATTCAATTTATAGGAAGATGGAGAATGAGAAATGCTGAGAAAAGTTTGTCGAATCAAATGTGAAAGTAGGATGGGCCCTTGTGAGATATGAAAACCAGAAAAGGCTCCCAGCTCCACTAGAGGCCTGCACTGATGTGAATTACAGATGTAAGGAGCCAGCAAGTGCTGCTTTGCAGACCATGACTACCAATGTTCTCTTTAAAGGATACAAGAAAGACTCTATCAATGTACAGAATGGAGAGAGGGACACAGAATTTCCAAAACACCCTTTCCCTTTTCCTCTGGTCTAAAGTCAGCATGACAGCAAATTCTAATTTCAATACTATTTACATCCAGGACCAGCATCTAACTTTTAAGAGGTCTGAAATGTCAATGTGCATCAGGAAATACTGGTTTCACTCACAAAAGTTTCCTTTCCAAGACATAGTGGGATTTTTTCATATATACAAACTAATACATGTATGTTTTTGGATTGACCACAGAGACAGTTCTAGCTCACAGGGAAAAAAACGTTAAGGAGGTAAAACTTTGAAAAAAAAATTTTGGAATTCTTATGACATTAAATGCTTTAGAGCAAAGCACTATTATCATCACAATTTGGGGGTTATAGAAGCTTACTATCGATAACACACGGAGGAGATTTTCTGGAAGGTGGAAATTCATTTAAATCCTTAGAGTTAATGGTGTCAGCAGGTGGGTGCCCCGAGACACAATGCAATCTCTAAGAGAAGATTTCATGAATGTTTAAAATGCTGTGAGATGGTCAACGGAGTGTTGAGGGCAAGTTAGATAGGACAAGAAGCACAAAATTTAGAAAAAAAAATTTGCCCATACAAAAGGAGAGGGAAATAATTTAAATTAAAAAGAAGTAGCTGAGATGGGGTGTGCAAATACATGAGAAGATACTCAATATTAGTCATCAGAAAAATGCAGATCAAAACCACAATGGGATATTACTATATATAGTGGCTAAACAGACATGAGTGACCAATGCGAACGAGCACGTGAAATGAGTACTCTCAGACACTGCTGGTGAGATGGTAAAATGGTGAAATCACTCCGGAAAAAGTTAGGGAATTCCTCAAGTAGCTTTACCTAAGTTACCAAATGTCCCAGGTATTTCACTCCTAGATATGTATCCAGAAGAACTGAAAACACAGATCCACATAAAAACTTGGACAGGAATGTTCACAGCAGCATTATTCACAATATTCATGGAGCACAAACAATTTGTATGACCATTAATTGATGACTAGATATAAAAACTAGATATAAGAAAAAATAATAAAAAACTAATATAAAAAAACTAGATATAAGAACTACCAGAAGTCCAGGCTGGGTTTAGAAGGGGTCGTGGTACTAGGGATATTGTAGCTGATGTTAGATGGATCTTGGCTGAAAACAGGGAATACAAGAGGAATGTCTATCTGTGTTTCATTGACTATGCAAAGGCATTTGACTGTGTGGATCATAACAAACTATGGCTGACTCTGAGAAGAATGGGAATCCCAGAACACTTGATCGTTCTAATGCGAAACCTATACTTGGACCAGGAGGCAGTCGTCAGAACAGAGCAAGGGAACACTGCATGGTTCAAAATTGGGAAGGGCGTACGCCAGGGATGCATCCTATCTCCATACCTTTTCAACCTATATGCAGAACAGATTATCCGGGAGGCTGGGCTCTATGAGGAGAAATGTGGGGTCAGGATTGGTGGACGATTTATCAACAATCTGCGTTATGCAGATAATACAACCCTGCTTGCTGAAACTGAAGAGGACCTGAAGCACCTGCTGCAGAGGGTCAAGGACGGCAGCCTACAATATGGATTGAGGCTCAATGTCAAGAAGACAAAGATTCTCACCACTGGACCAATTGGCAGCATCAGGATGGATGGTAAAGAGATTGAGATTGTACACAGCTTTAGTTTGCTTGGCTCCACAGTCAACAGTCTTGGCACCAGCAGCCAGGAAATTAAAAGGCGCATTGCAATGGGAAAGTCTGCTGTTAGGGACCTCTCTAAAGTACTGAACAGCAATGGTGTCTCTCTGGAGACTAAGGTGTGTCTGATACAGGCCATGGTCTTCGCAATCACTTGTTATGCATCAGAGAGTTGGACAATGACCAAGGAGGATAGAAGGAGAATTGATGCCTTTGAGCTGTGGTGCCGGAGAAGAGTTTTGAGAATACCATGGACTGCTAGGAAAACAAACAGATTTGTCCTGGAAAGGGTTAAACTGGGTGGCTCCTTGGAGGCAAGGATTCTGGGGCTCCATCTGACATACTTTGGACATGTTGTGAGGAGAGACTGGTCCTTGGAGAAGGACCTCATGCTTGGGAGGGTGGAGGGACAGCGCAGGAGGGGAAGGTCCTCTATGAGGTGGATTGATTCAGTGACTGGGATAATTGGGATGGGAGTGTCAGAAACAATGCGATTGGCACAGGACAGAGCAGAGTTTAGGGCTGTTGTACATAGGGTTGCTATGAGTCGCAAGCGACTCGACGGCACATAACAACAACAGATATAAAAATGTGGCCAATGCATATAACGGGAGATTATTCAGCCATAAAATGAAATGGAATGAAACGAAATGCTGCAACATGGACAGACCTTGAAAACACCATGCTAAGTGCAACAAGCGAGACACGAAAGGTCACGCACTGCACTAATCCATCATCTGACCTGGTCAGCACAGGCAGATCCCTAGAAGCATGGATTAGCGCAATTGGTGATTGCCAAAGGTTGGCTATTCGGAGCAAGGAAAAGTGACTGCTAATGACTGCAGGATTTCTTTCAAGGGTGATGAAAATGTTCGAAATCAGATAATGGTGATTGTTGTAGCTCCTTGTGAATAAATAAAATACTATTAGATTGTATACTTTAAAAGGGAAATTTTCTTGGCATACAAGTTGTTTTACAATTAAAGTGATGTTGTTTTTAAGTGCCACTGAGTCAAGTATGACTTATAGCGACCCTGTGAACAGATCTGAACCCTGTTCTATTCTGTGCCATCCTCATCATCTCCGATAAACTTAGACCCATTGTTGCAGTCACCATGTCAATCTACCTTGTTGAGGGTCTTCTCTCTTTTGCTGAACCTCCACCTTTGTAAGCATGATGTCTATTTCCAAGGAATAGCTCAAAGCTGAAACCTTCGGAGGAGCAGACTGCCTGGTATTTTCTCCTGTGGAGTTTCTGAGTGGTTTGGAATCATTGACTTGTTCTATTAGCAGGTGAGCTGCTTAACCACTGTGTTATCTTATGTGACACAATAGCTGGTAAAGATATATGTGAGGGGTTTTGCAAACTCGATTTATACCTCTATTAGAAAATGTGTATTTGCCTTCCTAATATGCTTATTTGTTAAATTAAACACATACACAAGGACATTAAAAAAATAGTATGTCTGGCTTAAGATACACATAGAAATATAAGTTAAAATTGTTGAGATAAGAATAAAAACAAATGAGGGGACAGAACATTTTCTTCTTGAAGTCCAAGAGATTGTTTGGTATATGATCTCTGGAGTGAATCTATCCCTCTTGGAAGACCACCAACAGAACAAGAAGGCAAGCAGCCTTAACCCAAGATCACCAGTAAGGTGATAAAGTGTCCTCCCTTTCCCCCTTCACATCAACGCCCCTGTTCAGCATGAAGAAGCCAGAGAATCGGCATCCAGTTCCCAAATCAGTAAGACAGTTGATTTAACTACCATTGGAAAATGCTTGTAATTTTCCTGTAGCATCTGGTCCCCACTGGATCACTTTCATTTCCTTCACCTGCTCCCCCCCACCAACCAATTTCTGCAGCTCTGCAATTGCATCCCTGCCCATCCTCACCCTTCTGCCCCCAACCCTCACCTCCTTGTACCCCCAATTTTTTTCCCAATAAAAATAAAAAAAGAAAAAAAAGACCACCAAATTGGCAATCAATACATGTACTTTCTGTGCCA